TGGCAACCTATGATATGTAAAACTGGACGCGTGCTAATTTCGATGCCTTGTTCCAGTTGTTGTAGACACCTACGCGGTCATAGTTGTCGAGCCAGTCTTCGACATATTCGCCAGGCAGACCAGAGAAGATTGGAGGCTCCCGAGGGGGGTCGTTGACTGGGCTTGGGTTGGCGGCGGGTGGTTATGCCGGCGGGTAGTTCGGTTGGGCTTGCTCTTGCGCCATGGTGCTCTGCTGGGTTAAGCGACGTCCAGAACGGAGCTCCAGGAGCTGGCTGTGGATGAAGAGAGGTCGAAGAGATCGGGAATCACCTTACACCACTTGAAATACCATGGTTGAGCTGACGCTCTATTCAAGCAACAGCAAGATGGCGCAGATGATGAAAAGGAAGACGAATACATTATTACAATATATATATATATATATATATATATATATATATATATATATATATATATATATATATATATATATATATATATATATATATATATATATATATATATATATATATATATAAAAGGGAAAGAAGTGTATAAGGGCTCGTTTTTCCGTGTTTTGACACAATAACAATGAGATCTAACAGACAATAATGCCAAGGAATGTAAGGGAAAGTTATTAGAGCCAATGTAATGTAAATAAGAAGAAAGAAAAGTGGGTGAAAAAATACCTTGCCGTGAGCAGGAATCGAACCTACGACCTTCGAGTAACGCGTTCGATCACGGCGGCTATCCCCCCAGCCACTTTATTGGTTTTATATGTGAATTTAAACGTGGGAGTGTCAGTCAGCGCCACCTGTGGCCACCTTAATATATATATATATATATATATATATATATATATATATATATATATATATATATATATATATATATATATATATATATATATATATATATATATATATATGGGAAATAAGTGTATACTTCAGAGCTCGTTTTTCCATCCATGTTTTGACACAATAATAATGATATCAACAGACAGTAATGTCAAGAAAAGTATAGGGGAGGTTATTAGACGGAATTGTAAGGTAAATGTGAAGAAAGAAAAAGTGGGTGAAAAGATAACTTGTTGTATACGAGGGACTACTGGTCAGCTGCCAGCTCGTAACAAGTTCACGTGGTACGTGACGCCGCACAGGCTCATAAAAGAGTGTGCCACACTCGCCGCCATGGCTCCAGATGGCACTGACTGACACTCCCACGTGTAAATTCACATCATCATCATCAGCCTGACTACGTCAACTGCAGGACAAAGGCCTGTCCCATGTTACGCCAGTTAACCCGGTCCTGTGCTTGCTGCTGCCAATTTATACCCGCAAACTTCTTAATCTCATGTGCCCACCCAACCTTCTGTCTCCCCCTAACCCACTTGCCTTCTCTTGGAATCTAGTTAGTTACCCTTAACGACCAGCGTTTATCCTGTCTACACGCTACATGCCCGGCCCATGTCTATTTCTTCTTCTTGATTTTAGCTATGATATCCTTAACCACCGTTTGTTCCCTAATCCACTCTGCTCTCTTCTTGTCTGTTAAGGTTACACCTACCATTTTTCTTTCCATTGCTCGCTGCGTCGTCCTAAATTTAAGCTGAACCCTCTTTGTAAGTCTCCAGGTTTCTGCTCCGTAGCTAAGTACCGGCAAGATACAGCTGTTATATACCTTCCTCTTGAGGGATAGTGGCAATCTACCTGTCATAATTTGAGAGTGCTTGCCAAATGTGCTCCACCCCATTCTTCGAACCTACGACCTTCGAATAACGCGTTCGATGCCCTACCATTGAGCTACCACGGCGTCTATCCCCCCAGCCACTTTATTAGATATATATGTAAATTTAAGCGTGGGAGTGTCAGTCAGCGCCATTTATAGCCATGGCAGCGAATGTGGCCCACTCTTCTATGAGCCTGTGTGGCGTCACGTTGAACGTGAACGTATTACAAGCTGGCAGCAAACCAATAGTCCCTCGTATAGAACCTAAGGCACCAAGTCTGCCAGTACTATATATATATATATATATATATATATATATATATATATATATATATATATATATATATATATATATATATATATATATATATATATATATATATATAGACGTAGCGAGGATGGAAGCGCACTAGCTCCGTAGTAAATACGGAAGCGAGAAAGCACGACGTATATATATATATATTGCATGACGAGTGAGGTAGGTTGTTTGCCGCCCAACTCGCGAGAGACTCTGGTACGCCAGTGATTGTCATGTAGTGCTAGATGTACTCCTTAACGCATGTAATAGTATACTATTACATGCGTTAAGAAGCACATCTCCGCAAACCTACGCTTATGCCACGTATACGTGGCGTAAGCGTAGGTTTGCGCCAGGCGTCAAGTTATGTGGATTGTACGAGTGGGTGTTTCAGAGGCCCACTCATTACAAATCGTGCAGACGTATTTGATGATCATCATCAACAAAAGCATCAACAAAGTGAGCAGCTAAAAGTATAGGTTCACGTGCTGCCTTACGAACGTGTAATGGGCCCTTCACTGATTCGCAAAAGGAAGAATCATGGCGCAGTGGGCTCATCGCAACTGGGCTTGCAGTAGGCATTCTGCCCCGCCGCGGTGGTCTAGTGGCTACTCGGTTGGTAACCCGCAGGTCGCGGAATGTAATTCCGGCTGTGGTGTTTGCATTTTCGATGCAGGCAAAAATGCTGTAAGCCCGCGTGCTCATATTTGGGTGCACGTTAAACAACCCCGGGTGGTCGAAATTTCCGGAGCCCTCTAGTAGGGCATCTCTCATAATCATATGGTGGTTTTGGGACGTTAAACCACACATATCAATCAATCAGTAGGCATTGTGTATAGCAGCTTGAAAAGACCTACGCGCACAGACGTTCGTCTCTTCGCGGCACGATGGAGGCATCCATGCACAAAGAACAGAAACGAGGCTACAGCAATGAGAAGGCGATGCACACGGAACAAGATTATGCTATAGCGTTCCGCCCTTGGGCCTCTCACCAGCCTTTCAAAATACCAAAAAACAAGTGCAATATTCTCTCCTGGAATTTCTCGTCCTTTTGGCGCACCTCTGCGACGCAGTGATTTTTGTGACGTCTATAGTGCCCACGCTCTTGATCGGTCCAATGTTCGCAAATATCCGAAGCGCATTGTCTCCTGTACTGCTTTGCCGTGCAGACGCCCATCCGTTCTTACTTGTCTCACATGGCTATCGTGCGCGATCAGCTGATTTACTTTCATTTTGTGCGTTTACGACGGCGGAAGCGGCGATAACGGCATGTAGCCGAGAAGCAGAAATCATTAGACCGGAGTGCTTGGTGCTGACATTGTATATAGACGTGCTTTATGAAAGAATATTACATGCCGAGGAGAATACATCGCCCGTGCGAAGGAGAGAAGGAAACCACTCTTTCGTCTTTGCATGCGAGGGGCCCTTCAAGGGCGAAATTCAAGCGTCCTCGAAGTTTTTCTTGCACTGACGTGGGCGGAAGCTTTTGTGACTATTCCGCGCAGCATCCTCGTATGAGATTGGACGATGAGATCAATCTTACTTATAAACCATCCACTCGTAAAAATTGGGAATTTTTCTTGATATCATTGATCCCCTGACCAATAACATGGCTGAAATAGTTAATTGATTACTTGCACAGTTGCCTAAACTGGCACATTAAATTGTCCATCGCATCCGTAAGCATCAATTTCAATTCCAGGGGTGTGGCCAGGATATTATATCGGCGTGCCTGCTTGTGGGAGTTCATACATTCTGAAATTTCTACACAGACTTTAAGTAATAGGGCATTGTGGGAATCGGAAATAAAACTATGCAGTCGGGGTCGTGACCACAGAGGGGTTGGTGATACGTGGCAACCACAGTCGGATAGAATGTTGGAATTCTGCGGCATTTCCTCTACAAACGTGGGTGCACACCAACCTGCTCCATCAGTGTGTACTCGAGGCTGACGTCATGAGCGGGACGACCAGTGAACTCACCTTCAGAGAACATTGCGCTATGCAAGGGTGGGACTGCTTATTCAGTCAGAGAGGCCGATCGGCGGCTGCGGTTTGGTCCTCTGTGCGGGGGCCTCTCCGGACTTAAAGGCCGACACCGGCGATTTTTTGACCATGTCAAGAGAATCGTGCTTTTCTGTTTCTCAGACAATTTTCTCACGTGCCCGATAACTGAAAAGCTCAAAAAAATTCGAAAATAACTTTTAATTACCGAAAGACCGCGATATCAAAACCGAAACCCAACAAAGTGCGCTTCTACGTGTGACGTAAAGGTTTGCCTGATCCGACTGTCTAATAAAGAAATAAAAAACAAACTACTTTATTGGCTGCTGACGAAGAGATGTAAAGTCGATCCTGGCCGCGGCGGTTGCATTTCGATGGGGACGAAGAAATGCTGGAGGCCCATTTACTGTGCGATTTCAGTGCGCGTTTTTTAAAGAAACCCAGGTGGTCGAAATTATACGGAGCCTTCCGCTACGGCATCTTCCGTCATGACCAGGATTCAGAGACATGTGCATGTAGCGCCATCTCTCGTCGGCCAACGCGGTGGTCTGCCGTTAAATAATGCAAGATAGACGAAAAAATCATGTCTAACTACAAAATCTTGTTGCCAAAAGCGACTCCCGGTTTATCACTGCAGAGACTTACTTTAACAGTATGGAAAAGTTACAATGCCGCACTGGAAACCCTTCTCACAATGCCGAATATTTAACAATGGGACACCATGGGTTTCTATGAGTGGTATTCAGTTGTCCTGGGAAGCCACACGCTTCGCAGTGCGATGCTGTGACTTCGCCCAAATGTACCAGTGGGTCTCTGCTACATATAAGCCGAAGTCGTTTTTGATAACTAACTTTTTTTTTCTGGTTATATGATGTGTCCCACCTATTTCTCACTCAGTTATAGCAGGCCGCCGTTCCTGCTGCTGAGAGATGGCACCACGCCCAGATGTCCTTAATTCCTGGGATTGAGCCTGAGTCACCTTGAGACGTTAATTACTGTAAACCAACCAATCAATCGGTTATTTTATTTTTTCGTCAGTGGGCTCGTTGTAATTCGGAAATTGAAGCATGCAAGTGCTCTTTAAGAGCCGCATCAACTTATGGATTTGGAAAAAAAATAAGATTATTTGCTAAACTGAGCTACAAAATATTCGGGATCTCGAAGCACATGAAAAAGAAAGAAACGTTTAAAAATTGTCGAATATCTTCTTAGAGACGGCCCGTGCATACTTTCGTGCAACGCTGCGCTTCAGGGTCAAACACACTGGCAGTTCACGTGCGCGGGCCACAAGATGGCAGCTTCGCACAGGCGTCTACTGGCACAATCAACAGCCACCGTCTTCGCCGCTATAGTCCTTTATCAAGATAATGTGGAGCACACGCACGAGTGCACAGGCTACCTTGTGCATGTACAGAATCGACACACTTAGAAGAGACATCGTGGCAACAGTGGGGTCGCTCAGTGATAGTTCATTCCATCCACTCCTTCCCATGTCACTCTCGAAACCACTTCAGTCCGTATCTGGTCTTGGCATTCACTTTAGCACTGAACAGCACCCACCGTGGTCCCTGTTTGACGACCCCTCCCGGTAACCAGAGGCTCGTACGATTGACGACCCTATTTCTTTCCCACATCGCGGACGAGTTCACAGACACAGCAGGAAGGCACGAAGAAGTTTTCCTCCGACGTGCCACCGCCGTCCGAGTCCAGAGAGAGCAGCTTTTTCTTCAAGTACTTCTGCGTGCAGCGGCTGGTGTAGCCGAAGGGCAAGCTGATGGCGTTCGAGCAGGCTGCATCGGGAGATCTGCGAGAGTGAGTGAAGTCACACCGTGATTAATCGGAAACTCCAAATAGAATGACGCCCCTGAAACGAAATGTATCACAAACTGCTTACACCGCACTTTTTTGAATTTAAAACAAAAATATCGTTATACGTTCACGGTAGGGGTAGGGGTTTCAAAAAACCTGGACGACAAGGCCGCACAGGACAAACCTTTGTTGTTTTTTTCTTCTACCCTATGGCACGTACCCACTGTGGGGCATTGGCTGCCGAAAGATCTTTCAACCTGTACCATTCTTCGTCCTCTTCTTATTTACAATACACGCCCAGCGTAATACTCCCCCCCCCCCTCGCGTAATAAATGTTTCTTACGTAATCATACATGTTGTAATAATATGTTGTTGGCAAGAGTTTGGCGGTCACAACGATACATGGCAAGTGTCTGAAATAGTCACGTATTGCAATGTTAAAAGTCCGTCCAGAAATGCTCGCGGGCTTTTTAGATTTTCAGCACCCTAGGACCACTGAAAAATTGGAATGAAAATGTTAAAATATTCTTGTAAATGGTGACTGACGTGTAATTCGTGGGCATGATTTCGAAACATCACGAACGCATACAGCTAGGATACATAATTTCATTACGAAAACCAGTGGTAAGCGATCATGAATCAACTTTACACTTAAAAATCATAAAAACTACTTCGGCAAACTATATTTTGATTAGGCTGTTACATATCTTGTGAGATCATGTATAATAACTATTAGAAGCTGAACGTGAGGCCCTAGAACTATTTTGCAGGCCGTCAACTACTTTATGATCCTGCCCCTCTGAACTATAAAGCAGCTGAATACTACCTACCTATTCATTGAACTCGTATAGTACCCTGATTTTAGCACTATTACCGCATTCGACGTTGTAATCAGCTGTATCTCTAAAATACAAGGCAAGCAGTTTCATGACTTGCATTATTTGTTGCGAAAGAACTATACAGCTGAAATTCTGCGCTGACGCGCTATGCAGTGATGGCAAGGCAAAGTTCTTAAAACGTTGTGGTTGTCCAGTCAGATTTTTTTTTCTCGCACAAAAGAAACACTAGTCTTTACAACCTTTCTGTATGTCATACGAACAAAGCATACTGCACAAAGATGTATAAACGATATTTTCACGCCAACCGATACATTGCGAAAATGAAACTGCAGTATGGATCAAAAGCAAAAGCGCTCGTTTCGCACAAATTCCGGCGTAATTGTCAATAATCGGCGTCGCTGGTTGTGAGCGAAAAATCATCATTCCAGTCCATGACCGAAAAATCACGGAAGATGGAAATAAAGTAAACAATAAAGAATACCCAGCCATTGCAAAGAAGCTAGTGCTCAGACATAATTAATCATCATCGGCAGAAGCAACAACAAAGGAAACAGCTGCGTACGTTCACGTGTTGACGCGTGGTGGGCCATTCGTTGATTCGCTGAAGGAATAATTATGGCGTAGTGGGCAATTAGCAACTGTACTTGCAGTAGGTATTCAACGATACTTTGAAACGACCAATATTACGTACACAGTCGTTCGTTTCCTTACAGCATGGTCGAAGAATGTACTGAGAACCGTAGCAGCTAGGTAGCAGTTCAGAAGACAAGGCGCACGAGTCACGATTACGCTATCGCGATCTTCCTTTGAAGGCCGAGATCAAGCGTCCGCAATGCCCCCCTCCCCCCTATTTTTGTCGCAATACAGTGGCAAGGTTTCTGCTTCATTCGCTCCCGCAGTATTCTTATCATTTATTTTGGGAATCTATAAAGCCCATAATGTGATAATATTATTCTTCAAAGATTCTTTGCTATTTTTTAGTGCAAGGCAGAAACCGGAAATTCCTTCCTGGTTAACCTCTATAACTTTCACCTAACCGTACCTTCTCTCTCTCTACAAAACGCTAAACATGTAGCATTTTGCAATATTTCTTCAACACCAAGAACAGTGAAAGTTGATATAAAAATGAACGAACTATCATAGTCATGTAATATCAGTGCCTTGAGAATAAGGAGTTTTTTTTTCATAGTAATTACTCAATCTAGTAATTTTATATAAATTATTTAGTGGGACACAGTTTGACTTCCGTGTCCGATGTACAACGTACCCTGAGAGGCAACGCAAAACTTTTGCCCGAAAGGCAACGCTTCAATTATTTTTCCCATATACTGGCACTACTTTTTTCAGCATAATCGGACATGACGAAAAAATTACCTTTACACTTGATATTCTCCAGTCCAAACCACTAAGCTATCTTTATTCACTGCCCAAACATCAACAAGAGACTATGCTTTCCCTCTGAATGCGAAGCATTTCTGAGCGAACTTCAGTGACTTTAAGCGTATCTATCTAGCCACTTACGTTAGGGTGCTCTCATGGTGATCCCCTTAACTTGGCGTGAGCCAAAATTAGCATGGGAGAGTGAGATGGTTTGACGAATATGATGAGCCAGACGAATATAATAAGCTGCCATGTGCTGAAGTAGATTTATGTAGCAGTGTCCAGGGCCAGCATCCTCGCGAGCATCAGCGCTTCATATCAGCTTCTGGCGTTGCTAATACGCATGTTCCAGTTGACATCGTTGCGCAAGTGCAAACAACTGGTTATGTAAACATCTGCACTTCTTCAACATATGTGTGTGCGTGCAACACTTGTAACATATGTCTGTGCGTGAACATATGTGTGTGGGTGGAACATTTATGGCCTTTGCTTGAGAAATGCAAAGACGGACTACAGATGACAAGAAATTTTCCCATTATTCTTTTTGCCTGGCCGCAGCATGAGTGCAAGAGGATCAACATTTTGTATAAATAATCTGCAATTAGGTAGTCGTCCTCGTCGAGATTATTTTGTGGGCTTCATTTTTGTTGTCAGGCTCTTAAACTTAAAATTATTGCAGTTTCGAAGTTCACGTGATAATCGTAATGTTTTCTGTTTTTTTACACACACACACAAAAAACAGAAATATTGATGACACTTATTCCTGGAAAAAATTTGCGAAAATGCGAACATAAATTTTTTCATGAAAAACACATTTTTTCTCGTTATTGATCGTGCACAGCTGTCAAGAAGTTACTTGCAGTATCGAATACAAATTCGGAATGGTAATTATTCATGTATCTTAGCGTTTCGAAAAATTCAATGAAAGCCACGCTGCAATGTCTGATGATGAAGTTAGGTCAAGTCCTAAGGACCATTATGTCTATGTTGAAGTTGCCGACGAGTATAAAGGACGGACGGACGGATAGACGGACGAACAGAGTCTATTTAGAACCATATGCGTGGACGGTCTATTTCTAAAACCATATGTGCTCTGTGTACGCTATATGTACGGTATATGCAACACCTGTGTTTCGGCCTGACGGGAAGCTACGATGACGGCTACAAAGGACATCACGAGAGCCTGAGGAGATTCGCTCCCAAAGGATTGGTAGATCCCACGTACAGTGAGAATCGATGGTATGCGAAGCACGAATGAGGAAGGATGATATTTCACTTTAAAACCACAACAACGTCACGAGGTGGTTATCAATTATGCCGTACATGACTTTTATGTCATGATTATCATGTCTGCATGTGTCATATACCTTCGTCGTCTATTTACGTCACGTGATACCAAATTTGGCGTATGTGAAGCTAGCGAAACGGCCGCGAGTGCTTCATGAGGGCGGCATGTAGTCATGTTTTACATGACACGTATATCATGATTATCATGTTTGGACGTGTCATTTACCTTCGTCCTTCATTCACGTCACGTGATACCAAATCTGGTGTATTATAAGCTAGCGAAATGGCCGCGAATGCTTCCTGAGTGTGACATGTAGTCATGTTTTACATGACATGCATGTCATGATTATCATGTTATGACGTGTCATTTACCTTCGTCGTCTATTCTCGTGACGTGGTACTAAATTTGGTGTATGTGAAGCTAGCGAAACGGCCGTGAGAGCATCATGAGCGTGGCACGTAGTCATGTTTTACATGACACGCATGTCATGATTATCTCGTTTGGATGTGTCATATACCTTCGTCGTCTATTTACGTCACGTGATACCAAATTTGTTGTATGTCAAGCTACCAATTTGTTGTATGTCAGCACGCCAGTAATAGGATATATTACGACTCACGCGTGGAAGCAAGCACCACGCACTTATACAATTCTAACGGCGTGCTAGAGCGATGCAAAGAGACGTGAACGGCGCGAAAAGCGTAGCTTTCGACTCAGTCGAACTGCGGCATGCCTTGACTCACTAGACGAATCTGTGCTTTCGGTCAGCGTCACCGTAGCATTTTAAAATCTTGTTCTGGTTGACACCTTCGCAACTCGAGTGTTTTCTGTGTGCCTGGCACGAGTGGGAAATGATAAACACATGCAGTGCAAGAGTGCAAGTTGGAGGGAGATTTCAGCGCTGCGTTTACGCTGAATTGCAGCACAAATTCTGCCTTGCCACAGCCAAGGCACGCCGCATTGTGATTAGTCGAAAAGAACGCTTTCCGCTGTCCGCTTTTCTTTCAATCGGAATAGTACGTACCTAATGAAGTTGCTTCCGTAATCTGCAATGCACGTGCTGTAACAGCAACCGGACCGCGGAGGAAGGTCTCCTCGACGTTTCACACAAAATTAGACAAAATTTCTGGTGAGGAAGAGCGCGAAACATCCTTACAGCCGGACTGGAGTTATTCAGTTTCGTGTTTGATTTGCGGAGCGTCTGCTCACGTGGCACTGCATGGGTGTTGCTTCGCCGCGCTTGAAACAGATGGCGCGACGCGCTTTTCAATATGGCAGCACGCTTTGAGATCGCTGGGTTCTTGTGTATACCTTCGACATCCATTCATGTCACGTAACACCACATTTGGTATATATGAAGACAGCGAAACGACCACGAGCGCATCATGAACGTGGCGTGTACTCATGACTTACATGACATGCGCGTCATGATTTCAACGTTAGGGTCTGTCACTTGAGTTCGCCATGCAGACATGTCACTGTACCAGT